GCAGAAGGAGCTCGCAACCTCCCTTAGGACTCGGCATTGAGGCCCTGCCTGTTCTGTGCCTTCCCGGCCTGGCCTTACACTGCTTCTCCCTGCTAGGATGCTTCTCTTGGCCTTTTCCACAGGGCCTATCCCCTCCCAACCTCCCAGAACTCTTCCCAAATGTTCCCGCCCAGGCAGATGACTCCTTCCAGCCAGTCCCTAACAACACACCATCCCTCTGCTCTGTAACACTCAGTCTTGTACCACTTTTCTAGTTTTTTCCCAAACACACCTTTCACTGTACCAAAAGATGCTATAGAAACTCCTTCTTATTTACCTGGTAAAGCCCTTCTCATCTGTCAAATCCACGCTTTAAGCCATTTCCTCTGGAGGTTTTCTGATTCCCTGCTCACTGAAGGCAGAACTGACTTCCACCGCCTGGACACCCACAGACCGTGGGCAAACGTCTGCTGCACCGCCCCTCACATCATGTATGACATGGTGTCTGCTCATAAACCTGCCTCCTCTGCAAGGTAGGGAGCTCCTCCGGGGCCACATCCAGCTCTCAGTTTTCTTATCATTCCCAAATGACACAGGTGCTACCAGAACTAAATGACATGATGCAGGGAGAGCGCTCAGCATGGAGCCAGGGGAGCTGAGCACCTGTGAATTTGGGCTGTGCTGTTATCACTCACCCATGCATCCCCACAGTCACACCAAACCCAATGCCTGTGGGAATCCGCTGGATTGAGCTGACGGGCAGGGGTGTGAGAGACTGAATATACAAACAGACAATGACCAGGCCAAATATAAAAACAGAACTCCACTCACAACCCACAGCAGCCTGCCCAGGAAACCAACCCACGATCCACAGTAACCAGCCAGGACGCAAGCCTGCCATACATCAGATTTGTGAGAAGTCAGACTGCTATCTCTAGCAATCATCCAGGAGGCCAAACAATAATCCCTGTAACAACTGGTCCCAAGTGGCCGGGACTCAATTAATAACTAACAGCTTCCCGATTTTTGTCCCCACTTCCAATTAACCAACAAGAGAAAGCCAATATGCCCCCCTCATCAATCGCAGAGGATGCTCCGCCTCTAGTTAGAACTCCCCCATGCCAACAATCAGAGAGTACCTGAAGTCTTCCCTTTTTTCCACTCTACCACTCTGCTGCCTGCCTTTGAGTCTCTGCCAACACACAAGTGATGGTGGCTGACTCCTTCGCTGTAGCAAGCTCTGAATACATAGCCTTTGCTTTTCTCATTTGGGTGGGCTTCGTTTATTGCCATAGGTATGTCTCCTACATCTCTGGCCTGGCAGTCCCAGGACACATTCACTAAAAAGGGCTAAGACTACAGGAAGAGGGGAAACAGGGATACAGGAGCAGAAGGGACAGAAGAGCCACAGCAGGACATGGGGACACTCTCTGCAGGGCCCACCTGCGATCAGACCAATTCCATGTGTGCCCTTGGCTTTCTCATGTCTTGTTTTTTCCTTCCATAAAATGGATGAAGGACATCAAGGGGCTGGAATCACTTAGAGATGACTCACCCCTGCCAGGGCCTTGGGCCTTGCAGAAGAGTCCCCAGGGCAGCCCCGGGAGACATTGTGACAGGCAGGGAGGAAGCAGCTTGTTCCCTCCCCAGCACCGAGGCAGCCTACCTCTGTCAGGTACCCAGAGGAGGACACAGCAGGCCTGTTGAGCTCAGTCAGGCCTGTTTAAGCCTCCTCTTCACACATAAAAGAAGAGGGCTTTTCTATTTGAAAGAGAAACCACAACAAAGGCTCAGGCCCAGAGCCATCTCTCAAGGTAAGGTGAGAGCCCAACAGGGTGCTCAGCTCCCACCCCTGCTGCTGCTACCACATCCCTCAATCCGCTGCCTCTCTGAATTCCATTAGCAGGCACTTTGTGATTCGAGGCAGCATGAGGGAGTCAGGAGCCACTGGCAGCAGGGAAGGAGTTCAAACAGCATCTTCAACAGACTTCTGACCAGAAGGTGCTATGTAAATACATTTCTGCATCTCACAGATGCACAGGCTAAGTGGCATTTCTCTGGTACATTTCCCCATGCCCTCTGGAGAGGGCCTACTTACTCATCCCACAAGGCACTTCCCAAATGTCAAGCACTTTCAAAGCTCTTGCGTCCATACCCAGGCTCTGCCCATGCCACTCTCTCAGAATTCATTCCTCTTCCCAGCAGTCCCTTCCAGCATTTTGTCCATACCCATATCACAGCACCGGGTGGTGAGGACAATGTGTCCTGCAACCCTAGTCTCCGCAGGGAGAGACTCTGGTGGAGACCTAGGCCTCCAGACCTGGGTCTGGGAGACAAAGGTGTTCGAGGGAAGGTCTAAGGAAGGAAAAGTACAAATGAACTCTCCTCTTACCCAAAGGGCCTGACTGTGCCCTTCCCCAAGGCCCCACCCTCCATTTTCAATCATTCTATCCTCCTCGGGAAAGCAAACATCCAATCCCAATTGGCTAGGTACAGCACTAGAGGACCCTGGGACTGACACAGGTGGCCTGGAAAGGCAGCCATGGCCTGGAAAGTTCCAGACCTGGAAATCTAGCCCTAGGGGCCTCTCCGTGTCCTCCAAGTCATAGGGATTTTAGCTTTTCAGACACAAATGCAACAAACTCTGTGAGCTTCACTCAGAAACAGCTATATAGACGAATCCCTCCTCCTTGTCCTTCTGTTTGCATGGTGGCCTTTCCAGGTCCTGCCTGTAGCTCCCTCCTGAGCCACTGTCCCTGCACTGTATTTGCCACTTCACGCACCCTCTCCCTCCTGGCCTGCCCAATGCCCACACCTCCTCTAGGAAGCTTGCCCAGCCTAAAGTCAGCCCTATGAGATAGGCTTGCTCGGGTCCCTCATGCATCATCAGCATTTCACATATTTCTTTCTCTAAACAGGATCTTAGACCCTTTTCATATCCCTATCATCTAGAGCATTCCCAGAACCTGGATGATATTCCCTTTCATGGGGAGACCACATTTTGTGGATCCATTTCCCAGTTGATGGACATTTGTATGTTTCTACTTTCTAGCTTTCAGGCTGTTAAGAATAATGCTGCCATGAACATTCGTGAGTAATGTGTTTTTGCATGGACGTATGGTTTTGTTTTTGGGTATTTTTTGTTTGTTTGTTTGTTTGTTTGTTTTTGAGACAGAGTCTTGCTCTATCACCCAGACTAGAGTGCAATGGCACAATCTCGGCTCACTGCATCCTCCACCTTTCGGGTTCACGCGATTCTCCTCAGCCTCCCAAGTAGTTGGGATTACAGGCATACGCCATCACACTCGGCTAATTTTTGTATTTTTAGTGGAGACAGGGTTTCGCCAGCTCGAACTCCTGACCTCAGGCGCTCCACCTGCCTCAGTCTCCCAAAGTGCTGGGATTACAGGCGTGAGCCACAGTGCCTGGCAACGTGGACGTATGTCTTTACATATCTTGTGTACATACCTAGGAGTGGAGTGACTGGGTCATATGGTAACCCTGTGCTCTGTGTTTAACCATTTGAGGAACTGCCTGACCGTTCTGCATGGTGGCTTCCCAGCTGCTGTGTGTACGAGGCTTGCCTTCAGTGTGACAGGACTAGGAAGAAGATCAAACCATAAAGTCTGTGTGAATTGCCTGTTTTGAAGGAAGTAGACTATTGTGAAGCACTCTTTAGACTGCATCTGTGCTATTGAGTCTTTGATGATTCCAAAGGGACTTGTGGATTCTGCAGGGTTTCGAGGGCACTGCTATGAATGCCAGTCATCTTTGTGCCGGCAGACATGATTCTGGCTAGCAGACTGTGGCAACAGAGACGGCGCTGGTACAAATCCTTAAGTTCAGGGTGCAAGGGAGGGACAGGTATGAGTCAATGCCTGTGAGGAAGGCTGCTGGAAGACAGAGGCTCTGAAGCCTGGTCCAGGGGAGACAGGTGGGAGGGCAAGGAGGCTGGAAGGGGGCATGGAGTTAGGGTCCATGTGAGTCTGGGATGAAGCAGGATCTGCCCCCTAGGCTTCCTGTGCCCTCTGCAATTCTCCCACTCCACCCTTTCACAAACGTGCAACAGGCGCCCACGTCACAGCTCTGCCACATGGGTCACTGAGCAGCAGTGACCTCTCATAGAAGGATGGAGGGACTGCTCTCTGGAGAAGACGGCAGGTACTGCAGCAGTCAAGGCACACTGCTTGTCCATCCAGAGGAACTATTTCTAGAGCATCTATGAGGCCCACCTGCTGGCCTCCTGCCACTTTGATACCAAGCACCTACATCCACGTGCTCTGCATATGCCCAGCAGAGAAAATGTCAACATCAGCCAGGCGTAGTGGCTCACACCTGTAATCCCAGCACTTTGGGAGACCGAGGCAGGCAGATCACCTGAGGTCAGGAGTTTGAGACCAGCTTGGCCAACATGGTGAAGCCCCACCTCTACTAAAAATACTAAAATTAGCTGGATGTGGTGGCACATGCCTATAATCCCAGCTACTTGGGAGGCTGAGGCAGGAGAATTGCTTGAACCTGGGAGGTGGAGGCTGCAGTGAGCCAAGATCACACCACTGCACTCCAGCCTGAGCGACAGAGCAAGACTCAAAAAAAAAAAAGGAAAGAAAGAAAATGCCAACATCCCTGGCATCTTTCACTCCTGAACTGAGACAGCAACACAGGAGAACAACACTAGATTGGAAGGTGAGAAGGGGGCTCATTCAAGACTACTGGGAAATAATGACTCCCAGGGCCTCAGGACCCAAACATCCCGCGGGTCTGTTCAGAACAAGAGAATCACTCCAAGAACCACACCCTTGACCCTTGGTCAATGTGCTTCACAGTCAGCTAGAGGCAGAAGTGACCTAGAGAGTTCCAAGCTGCAGAGAACACAGATCCATTTTCAAAGTCTACCCATGGGAATGACTTCATGGTGTCACTGACCAGGGACCAGCTCTGGTGGCACTCCCCAGACAGGGTCAGAGCCTGAAGGATGAGGGCTGGCCATGCCCTTCTGGCTAGAGCTGACCAGGGCCTACCTCGGAGCTGACTGAACGTGGTCATGAACTTGCTGGTGAGGGACTTGAGCTCGTTGTTAGCCAGGGTGATGAGGTGGATCTGGCCGGAGACATTCCGCAGGACCTTGTAGATGCCAATGGGAAAGGAGACCAGCTTGCACTCGGCCAGGTCTGCAGCCAAAGGACAAAGACAAACCAGAGTTATCAGCCACAGCTGCCTGAGAACTTGTCCCAGACTCACATGGACCCCACCTCCATGCCCCCTTCCAGCCTCCTTGCCCTCCCACCTGTCTCCCCTGGACCAGGCTTCAGAGCCTGCCCTCTGTCTTCCAGCAACCTTCCTCACAGACATTAGCTCACACCTATCCCTCCCTTGCACCCTGAACTTAAGGATTTGTACCAGCGCCGTCTCTGTTGCCACAGTCTGCTAGCCAGAATCATGTCTGCCGGCACAAAGATGACTGGCATTCATAGCAGTGCCCTCGAAACCCTGCAGAATCCACAAGTCCCTTTAGAATCAACAAAGACTCAACAGCACAGACACAGTCTAAAGAGTGCTTTACAATAGTCTATTTCTTTCAAAACAGGCAATTCACACAGACTTTATGGTTTGATCTTCTTCCTAGTCCTGTCATGCTAAAGGCAAGTCTCGTACAAGCAGCAGCTGGGAAGCCGCTGCACGGAAGAGGCAGGCAGTTCCTCGAATGGTTAAACACAGAGCACAGAGTTACCATATGACCCAGTCACTCCACTCCTAGGTATATACCCAAGAGACAAAAACATACGTCCATAAAAAAACACATTACACGTGGATGTTCTTGGCAGCATTATTCACAACCACCCAAAAGCCGGAAAGTGGAAAAACCCAAATGTCGACCAACTGGGGAATGGATCAGCAAAACGTGGTCTCTCCATGAAAGGCAATATCATCCAGCAATAAAAAGAAATGAAGTGGCCAGGCGTGGTGGCTCACGCCTGTAATCCCAGCACTTTGGGAAGCCAAAGTGGGTGGCTAGCTTGAGGCCAGGAGTTCGAGACCAGCCTGGCCAACATGGTGAAATCCTATCTCCACTAAAAATAAAAAAATTAGCCAGGCATGGTGGTACACACCTGTAATCCCAGCTACTCATGAGGCTGAGACATGAGAATCACTTGAGCCTGGGAGGTGGAAGTTGCGGTGAGCCCAGATCACACCACTGCACTCCAGCCTGGGCAACAGAGCAAGACTCTGTCTTCCCCACAAAAAACATTTTAAAAACAGAAATGAAGTACCAATGTATGTTATAGCAGCTATAGCATGGCTGAACCCTGAAAACATGACATCAGGCAAAAGAAGCCAGTTACAAAGGCCGGAATATTGTACAGTTTCATTTATATGAAATGTCAAGAACAGGCAAATGCATACAGACAGAAAAGAGATTAGTGAATGCCAGTGCTGCAAGGGATGGGGGGCGGGGGAGTTCTTTGTAGGGGAATAAAAATGTTCTGCGATTGGGCCAGGCGCAGTGGCTCATGCCTGTAATCCCAGCACTTTGGGAGGCTGAGGTGGCCAGATCACTTGAGGCCAGGAGTTCAAGACCAGCCTGGCCAATATAGAGAAACCCATCTCTACTAAAAATGCAAAAAAAAAAAAAAAAAAAATTAGCTGGGCATGGTGGCACGTGCCTGCAATCCCACCTACTTGGGAGGCTGAGTCATGAGAATCCCTTGAACCCAGAAGGCAGAGATTGCAGTGAGCCGAGATCACACCACTGCACTTCAACCTGGGCAACAGAGTAAGACTATCACACACACACACAGAAAGTTATAAGATTGGATTGTGGTGACAACTGCTCAACTCTGAACATAGTAAAACCACTGAATTGTACACTTTAACTGGATGAATTGTATGGCATGTGAATTATATCTCAATAAAGCTGATATATATACATATACAATTATATATATTATATCAACGACAGATATATATACAGCAGCAGACAGACACTAAAAGTATAGGGGTTCAAAAATTAGTCTGTCCAGCTCATCAAGGTGTCACTCAAGTTCCCTGAGCCTCAGTTTCCTTAACTGTAGAAAGAAGGTACCATCATCTGCCTAGGATAGCTGTTGGGAAAAATTAAATGTAGTAAAATAATGACTAACAAAGCGCCTAGAAGATATTTAGCAGGAATGCTACCAATATTGTAGCAGCCCTCCGCTTCCACTTTACCTCCTCTTCCCACTCGATCTAAAGCCTCTCTAGGCTTCCAGGCCAGCTTCCATCCCATCTCTCCCAGAAGTCTTCTGGGTCACTCCTGTTGCTGGTGTCCAGTCAGCCCCCAACCTCCCACCCAGCAGCACTCGTCGACCCTGACAGCACCACCCCAGTTATCTCTCAGAAAACTCTCATCTTTTCCCCAAAGAGGCCAGGCTCTCCCAGGCTTCTAAGCCTTTGAAAAGTGCTCCAAAATAAACATGTGAAACTCAGTAATATTTTTATATGCCAGCAGTAAAATACGGTTTTAAAAGATTCTATTCCTAACCAGTAAAATACGGTTTTAAAAGATTCTATTCCTAACAGCAACAATAATACAAAATACATGGAAATAATCACAATTGAAGCCTTTCTCCCTCATCTGCCTCACAGATTTATTCTCTTGCTCCAAGAACCAGCTCAAATGTCACCTCCTCCATGAAGCCTTCTCTGACTGTCCTAAGCAGTCAGTTGCTCCAGGAGCTGAGCCTCATATAATGCAAACAAGACTTCCTCATCCTGTGTTGTATTAACCCCTTTTTGTGCTGTTTTCCCAGTGGACTGAGAAGACCCCCAGAGCATAGTACCAGAAGTCCAGCAGACTCATGGGAAAAAAGGGACAGGTGGGAAAAGGGCAAAATTACAGATGACTGAGGGTCCACAGGGCTCCTCTGCCAGGCAGCCTATAAGGGGTGTTGTTAATGCCTCCTCTGGTCCAGGGCTGCACTTGGTAACCCAGCCCTGCAGCTGTCCGATGTCAATCCCCAGCTCTTCTATCAGCAGGTGGGGTTGGCAGGAGAGACTGCTAAATCCTGCCAGCGAGGAACAAGGTCCCAAAAGTCAGGCTTTCAGAAGAGCGAGAGCAAGGCCTGAGCTGGAAGCAAACAGGCACTGTGGGCTCAGAGTTTGGGGCAAGCTGGGGATTCTAAAAAGAGTAATACTTCCAAACAATAAGCCCTCTAGCGCTTTGTGACAGATATATTAAGGGCTGGAAAGAAGTTTTGTTGGAGTTGTTGTGAATTACACCAGTCCCTTTGGGTAGGAGTAGACAGATCTCATCATACATCCCAGGAGCAACATCAAAGTAATGGAAGAAGCTTTCCCTTTAAAACAAAGAGCAAAACAAGGATGCCTTTCATCACCAGTATCCCTGAATAGCATCATGAAAGTTCTTGCCAGGCCGGGCGTGGTGGCTCATATCTGTAAGCCCAGTACTTTGGGAGACCAAGGTGGAAGGATTGCCTGAGCCCAGGAGTTTGAGACCAGCCTGGGCAACATAGTGAGACCCTGTCTCTACAAAAAAATTTAAAAACTAGCTGGGCATGGTGGTGTGTGCCTGGAGTCGCAGATACTTGGGGGGGTTGAGGTGGGAAGAAGATCGCTTGAACGCAGGAGGTCAGGGCTGCAGTGAGCCTCTGCACTCCACTGCACTCCAGCCTGAGTGACAGTGAGACTTTGTCTGAAAAAAGAAAAAGAAAAGAAAAGAAAAGAAAAGTCAAGCTAGGTCTGGCCAATTAAATAGAAAGCACAGACATTGAAAACAGACAAAGTGATTCTTAGGTGCATATGAAATGACTGTATAAACTCAGAAACTCAAGGCAGTCATCTGACAAACAACATAAATTAAAATGGTCTCAGCAAAGCAGCTAATCAAATAAGCATGCAAAAGGCAATAATATTCCTATGCGCCAGCAAGAAAATAGTTTTTAAAGATACTGTTCCTAACAACAATATAAAATATAGAGAAATGAGCATAATGAGAAATGTATCTGACCAATATAAAAAAAAAAAGTAGAAAAGTTCACAAAGATATTTTGTTTTGTTTTGTTTTGTTTTGCTTATTGAGACAGGGTCTTGCTCTGTCGCCCGGGCTGGAGCGCAGGGGCGCGATCTCAGCTCACTGCGGTCTCGAACTCCTGGGCTTAAGCGATCCTCCCACCTCAGCTTCCTGGGTAGACGGGACTACAGGCACACGCCATCAAACCCGGCTAATTTTTGTATTTTTTGTAGTTGGGGTTTTGCCATGTTACTCAGGCTAGTCTTGAATTCCTGAGCTCAAGTGATCCGCCCACCTACGCCTCCCGAAGTGCTAGGATTATAGTCGCGAGCCACGGCAACCGGCCCACAAAGACATTTTTAAGAATGGTTTTGTATGTGAAGATATAACGTGTCCACTGATGACAAGTCAAAATATGGAAACACTGGTTTTTTAAAGAAATTAATTTATATATTGTTGAATGTAACTACTACCCAAATCCTCACGAGGTTTTTTTTTTTTTTAACCTTAACTAAATGGTTTTAAAGTTCAGCTAGGGAAATATATAAGCAAGACCTTCTAAAAAAGGTGAGGTTATAACCAATATTATAAACCTAAAATACTTAAAACAGAGGGCAAAAGGGAAAATAGATCATAGAAAGAAATTATATAGTTCCAAAAATATAGTCCAGAAATAATGTCATAATAAATGCTAAAGGAGGCTTCACAAATAAACTGGAGAGGGAAGGATTAATCAACTGATGTCAGAATAACCCCTTAACAATTTTGAGAAAGACTCAATCTAAGAATCAAAATACATCCTAGATAGAATTACACTTTAAATCTTTTTTAAACCAAATTTTAAAAAGTAAACAGAATTGAACATTTATACAACCTTTTAAGTGAGGATGACTTCCCAAATCTAGGAGTATAACAGAATCACAAAGGAACAGATAAAAAACTAACTACATTAAAAACATAGAAAACACTTTGAAGCTTAAAAAGAATAAAGCCAGCAACACGGATCTGTAAATAGGATGTGTACAGAGTCATCTTTATTACTGAAACTATTCAATATAATTGAATAAAGAAAAAATTGAGACCACCTGAGAAGACAAGGACGTAAGATATCTACAAAGGAAAAAACATAATTAGTAAACAAATATATAGCTCCTGATGTGT